AGTTAATGTTGTCAGACTTAAGAGATGCCTCAGTGTTGGGGAGGAGCCAATGGACGCTGTTCTCAAGAAATTGCCTATGTCACTCCCAACACTATTAATTCAAAGGTGTTCTGTTCAGCTGCCTGGCTTGCAATAGCTGGGATTTTCCAGAGGAAAGACTTTTGTTCTTACTTCTAATTTCTACCGTCTTATCATAAAGTTCAACAGAAGACCAGATAAAAGTTACAAGTTGATGACGCAGCTCCAGTAAGGTCAAATGCTCAGAAAGGAGAGTTGGCTATCTGGAGAAATTTGATGTTAGAACTATGCCAAAACTATGACAAAACAGCATTTGCACTCACACCTGTAAATGAAACTAGACTACAGCAGGAATAAAAGTCTGATGGTCTGGACTCTAAATATCAGACACAAAAAACTTAGAAATATGAAGGATAATTTTTCAGTGAGAGAATGAAAGCCAAACAAGAGATAAACATTAATACTGATCATTCTGTGGAACAACTATTTAAGAAAGTAAGGTAATTTTGTGAGTAGGACTGGGGTTCAAGAGTTGAGTCAAGCCCCAGCCTCAAACACACATTCCCTCTTCTGACCTTGGCGAGGTCACAGGCCAGTCCCTCTCCCATCCATATAATATCTATTAACACATATGCATGCGCTGAAGACATGTCATGAGAGACAGAAGGCACACATGTACCAAGCAACTCAGGAAGGAAGTTTCTTGGACACTTCCATGAGCAAACAGGCAAACTGCATAACTGAAAAAGAAAGCAGAGAAATAAACCCCAAACAGGCAGGTTTCCCCATTCACCCACCCACAGGCTTCTTAGCTTAGCAGCAAAATCAGCAGCTCTGCCCAGGTCCCAGCTTTGTCTGGGAAGGTTCAGACATCACTCATTCACACATTTAGCTTGTTAGGGAGAAATGAAGAAACAGCAGCTCTGTATTTGTTTAAGAAAATACTTCTTTTGAAATGCTGCATTCACACTGGGTCATTATCGTTGCTTTCAGCTGCAGCTATCACATATGTAGAAATATAGTTTTAATTTATTCCAGGAGGCTCTGGCAGAGTGGCAAAAACAGACAAAATTGGCTTGTTCAAGAAAAAAAAGCAGCGAACATATAAGTAATAGGTGTGCTGCAAAAAAATGACAACACAGTATGGTATTATATTAATACAAATAGCTCCTTTTAAATACAAATCTGTTTGCCACACTCATTATTTTTAGAGATTCCACAGTCGACAACGCAGTGAAATACAGACAGATGTGTAAACAGATGTAGTGATGATGTATGCTTGCTGTCATTAATTCAACAAAGGCAACTGACCTAGTCAAACAGCACTTAATGTTACATAAAATTTGCTGAGTGGTTTTTGAGTGTACTCTACGAGATGCTGGTTTGACCATAACATTATCTTTCTAGAAATAAATAGAGATGCATCTCTAGAGTCTATTTGAAAACCTGCTTTTATAAACAGGCCCAATTCTGCAATCAAACTTCTGCTCTTATAAGTAGAAACAATACCATGTATTTTAAATTAGCAATTAAGTAAGCCATTATCCATGAAACAGCTGTCAGAAGAATGCATTGAGACTGACACTGGTTGAGGTCTGGTAAACCATTATCCAACTGAAATGATAGAAGAAATAAGAGAGCTTTGCAATATATTAATTTAAATTGATGTGTAATCACCTTTGAAGAAATAAAACATTGTTAAAATCTATATAGAAGATGCCACCTTATTCACTAGGAGGTGTGTTTTCACCAGAGAGCAGACATTTTGTTATGAAGAGAAAGCAATATTTTTTTCCTTTCTAAGGGAAAGTAAATCTGAAAAAAAGTAAGAAATAAAGGAATACTGAAAAGTTTATATCACTGTGATAGGAATATATTATAGATACATTGCCAAATTCCATTCTCACCTTCCCCTATTCAGAAAATACCTATAACTGGTAAAAGAAACTATTACCAAAACATGAAAGACCAATGAAGTGGCAGAGATTTGCTACAGAACTGTTGCAGCATCAAGGCATTTCAACAAGTAGTCCACATCTTCTCACACTCACCTTTTTCCCCTTGATTAGGGTGGCTCTATTTAACCTGAAGTCACGTCTAGCCAGGGTTCTAATTCTGATGATGGCCATGACTGTCCCATAGTCTGTGCCAGGAGGAGAGTTAGTTCCCCACCGGGCCATTGAAACAGATGATGCACACCAATTCAAATTAACTAAACATCTATTGTTTTTTTTTTTCTATTGTTTTTTTTTTTCTCTTCAACTGCAACTTCATGATACATCACTGTGAACAAATATGCAGGCAACAGTACTGATGGGACATCTACTGCAAATTAGGTGATGACAGGCAGACCCACAGTCTCTTGCAGTGACCTATTCCCGCATTCATTGTAACCCATGAACTAAGTGCAATCACAAAGAAATACTAGGTAGTCCTCACAACCAACAGCATACTCAAACCTAGAAGTTAAGAGGCTATGGTAGCATCTTCATTTCTTAGTATAGAAGGAGACATTCAACATCATGCTGAAGTATTCAAGCTTTAAAATCCTTACCAACCTCAGTTCACAAGCAGTAGATTCAACTACAAAGAAAGTGAATGACTAGTTCACATTAAACAGATGTTTCCACAGTTTTCATGAACTTAAAAATGCATGGATAGTAAGAGTGCATAGAAACATTGTTCAAAACAAGCAGCAAAATGCAGTACTGAATGAATGCTGTTGGAGAAGCATGCCAAAGTCTCTCAAAAGGAATATTTTTAGGAGAAAGGAGAACTTGTACAAAAGGAAACCTTTACTGTGTACACACTGCCTATACTATAGTCACAGGCATTTACAGCAACACAAAGATTAGGTCAAAGGGGACTTTTCAGGGAGAGGTTGAGGTGGGGAGAAAACTAGCAAGGATTCATCTGTGCAGGCATTTTCAACAACAAACCAATTATCTGTATATTATAAATTCTCACCATGCTTCTGAGGCCCAGCCTCACATCATTGGCCATCTCCAGACAGAAAGGGAAAAGAAGATGTGGGGAGACAAAAAAGGATCAAAACAGTGAGGCTAACAGTATATTTCATATTTCACTCTTTAGCAAACATATACTAATTACACTTCTGGTTTGAAATAGCAACTTCTAGCCACTGTAACCAAATAGGATGATCCTTGAAAATGGTGCTGGTTTCAGAACTCAACTATGACATCTAAGATAACTCTATGAGATGACAGATAATTTTTTTTACAAGCTAAATGTTAAATTCACCGAAGTTTTGTTCCAAAACTCACTAAAATTAATGTCATTCTTTACATTATTTTACATAGCTTTTAAATCCTACATTATTATAGAGCTAATAAATGACATAATTTTTCGCCCTATTACTACCCTTTACCAGAGTGATTTACTCTACTGGACCATCAGCATAACAGATTGCTCTATCACCATCCTTCTTCACCTTACAGCCTAAACTCAGAAATTTCCACACTTTGTGTCAAAGGTACACGAGAGAGCTGGCAGAGGAGACATAAGGAGTTGCTCATACAACCCATTTGGTCCCCAGCAATAATTGCCTTGCAAAGACTCTCCTCTCTACTTCAGCTTTGAGAAAGCCTTAGAAAACTGTTATTCCTGATATTTACCTATAAGTATTTTATTTAAAATTTAACTCTTTAGAGATTTCTGCGTCCACATTCAGGGCAATATTTTGGAAACTGCACAAGATCCTATTTCAGCATGAGAAAAGAAAGGAACAAATCGTTAGATAGCTCGAACTGAAATTTAATTTCAATAGACAAATAGATTTATAAGTTGCCTGTTACTATAGCATTTTTCTTCTTCAGCAAGAAGCCAATACCCTTTAAAAGAGGCTGTTCAGGTTTATAAGACACTACCTAACTGTTCAAGCAACTTTTGTGACACAAAAAATAAAGACTTCTTCAGCAAGTCATCCCATTGCAAACAATGTCCAATTTCAGATGTACGTAGGTTTCAAAGCAACTGAATTTAATCCTACACTGAAGGTGAATGGAAGTGTGTGCTCAGTGTGGTTAGGATCAAACTCTCACTTAATTTTATGTATATACTTAAAATCCCTAGCTGGATCAAGACCCAGGTCCCTTTGAAAACTACTTTTAAAAAAAAAAAAAGCAATAATGGAACAAACTCATAAATTAAAAAAAAAAATAAAATCACATTTTATGTTGTAGTTTTTTGTTTTTTATTTTAAACTTTTACTGACTCGTTATTAATGAACATTCAACATCCCCTCAAGAAGCCAACTTTCAAATACCACCATAGGCTGAGATAAAATATACAAACATTAGCTCTGTAAACATTGTGCAAAGAATCTAAAAAGAATCTGATGCATTAAGGTTCCAATTCAGTAAAATACATAAGCTCATGCCAAGCACATGAGTAACCCCTGAAGTTCTCTAGGACAGGTCACGTAATGCAACATAAGCAAATACCTAAGTTCATTACCAAACTGGAGCTTTAAACAGGTTGTTTCTTTCTGAGTTTTCTGCATGGCAACGTTCATTTTTAAAATTTATTTCTCTTCATTTTTCAGTTTTTTCCTTCTTTTTTTCCTTCCCCCCTAAGGTTTATACTGAGAAAATCCAGATAATATCCCTAAGAATCTTTTCGGGCTTTCTAATACCACTGAAAGAAAAATTAAAGCAAACACAAAAATCCCTTTCTTGCACTTATGGAAATATACTAGAACCAAGTGAATGCATGAATACTGCTGTAAGTATCAGGAGCCTGGATCCAACGTCCTTAATCATGGGGGTGACATATCAATTCTAATTCCTTGCAACCTTGACCTAGATCTATGTGATCGATAGCAGGACATTACTGATTGCACTGGATTCCAGATGAGCACATTGCCTGCAACCAGATATTACAGAATATCTACTTCACCATTAGAGGCCTCTAAGGAGAAAATCTTGTTTCTTCACTCACATAAAAAGATAACACTGAGTTAGTGAAAAAGCTCTTTCAACTATTATCAATTCTGTACATGGCCATTTATTTACCCTCCTTTTTTTTTTTTTTTTTTTTCTCTGATATTCTTGCTTGTACTTTGTCATAAAATAATGTTAAACTTTTGCATTCTGTAATGACCGATTCCTAACACTACTTTGCTGAATTGAAAATGCCAGGTAAATGAAAATTTTCAACCTTTTATATTTGAAGTTACTTAGAAACTGAACTTCTAGATGGCATTGAAATGCATTATTTTGCCAGCATTTGCATTATTTATTTTCCCCAAAAAACTTTATTTATTCTTAGAAAAGTAGAATACAATACAGCGGTACAAACAAATGATCATTTATATGCAATTGAGCAGAAAATGTACAAAGATTTCAGACATGCCATAAAAATACAGAAAAAAAAATAATTTAAAAAAGAGATAAAATTTAGAGGACATGCAGTGAAGAAAATAAAACATCAGTTTGATGGCCGCATGTTTCCTTTCACTCTCAAAAGGAACCATCCCAGTGGAAATCAAATTGTCAGGTAAAAAGATAACAACACAAAAGAGATGATGTAAATGAAGTGACAGACAAGACAAGGATAATGAAAATAACAGTGAAAGCATAAGACTTTAATAATCCAAACCAACATCGCTGACACCACGCTGAAGGTATAGAAGCCCTAGCTGCTGTGGAATAATGGTAAGTGAATATGGTGCAGATCTCAGTTCTTAGCAGTGACAAATTTTGATCCATTGGACTCATATCTGTTTACTCATATTTCAATTTCTGAGGTACTCTGGGTTTCATATTCTTCCAGTGCCAGAGAAGAGTCCTAGTGGGTAACTCTTAAGAGTGCTAAAGCTGGAAGTAGGGATTTTTGAGGTAGGCTGGAATTTGTGTAGCATCAAACATGGGAAAAGGGGAACTTAAGGCAGATCATGTAAGGCATCCTTGGCAAAAGATACAGGCTTGCTTTCTTTCATCCTGAATGCTGGTATTTGTTGTAATTTTCAGGGTAATTTTTGCTACCTCTTGCTATAATATAATGCTAGGAAACATTGCAGAGTATAGACAGAAGTAACAGAAGCAACAGAAAGTTAAGAAATCACAAACTAAGCAAAGAATGTGATTGTTAATGAATTATAAACTAGACACAGGTTATAGGGAAATGGCTAGTAACAGCTCAGCGTGTGGAAAACAATGCTAAATCCCCTTGTGCAGTTGAAAAAATAATCTGCATGCACTACAAAATCAAGAACATGTTGGGTACGGTTGCTGAAACACATTGCTAGGAGCAGCACAGTCTGGAGAAAATACACTTCTGATTTACAATATACATTAATCAGAAATAAAGAAAGAATCAAAGCAAGAATTTCTTGAGAATCATCTGTCAAGACCTGTAATAACAGTAAGTGAATCAAGCTCGTCCTTCATAGAAGATGCAACAAGTATCAATTTCCAGCAATTACCTCATATAACATCTCTAAGTGAGTTTACTTGACAAAAGGTGATCTATTAATTTGTTTTTTAGTGAATGCACCTTGCGAAAAGTGAAAAAGTCAACTTTTCTTTCCATGAATAGTATGATAATATAACTTTTGCTTTTATATTTTTGTTGATATGGAGTATGTTATGTGGATGAATAAGAAGTGATATCTTAATAGTTCTGAAGAGATCTCTGAAGGGGAAGAGTAGATTTCAGTGAGACATAGCATATAAAGTACAAAGGAACACAAAGGATGCTGCTGAGTTCACTGCAGGAAGTAGCTGTACCAGATCCTAACAACAAGGAACATTTGCAAACTGTCTTTCAGTCACAAAAGTAATATTTTCATGGAATAAAAGGTAGGAAGAATCCGATGATGTGATGAAGCCCTTGGTAGTTAAATGATCCAGATTACATCAGAGTTAACAAAGATCATGAAATAAAAGCATGGGACCAAAGGACATAGAAATACAGAGATAAATATTGAAAGTTTGACATTTCATGCCACTGGGTTTCAGTAATTTCATGGGATTGCTCAGCTATTCAAAAAGGGCAAAGATTCCAAAATTAATATTAATTTTCACTTTTCCTTTTGCAATTCCCCAAATCTCTGAAGCTGATCATAGTTGAAAGACTGGGTATCAGTACTGCAGCCTGAGTAGCCGTTTTGTCAATTCAAGATTTTAAAATGTAGAGATAAATGTAGGAGCTGACTAAATTTCACAGTGAGTGTAGAATATCTGGGCATTAGTAGCAATTAGGAGAAGCTGATTATAAGCTCTAGAAAATCCAATTTGAAAAAGATGGCCAAAAGTAAATTTCCCATAAGCAGAAATAATAAGAATGTTTAAACATTACCAGATACGTTTTCAATTTTAATGCACCACAGACTTGAGCCCAAGTAGATGGAACCTGAGATGGTCTTGCAGCTGTACAATTTTCCTGATGTTGAAATTAATCTTTCTTTTGTTAATCTGAATTGATAAGGAAGCATTATGATCACATTGAGATTTTTAGAGAATAAATCTTTAGAAAAGGACTCAGGCACTTCTTTGGAAACTTAAAGATCCATTTGGAAGCCAACCTGTGTGGGGAACCTGCTCTATCCGGGGAGTTGGACTTAATGATCTCTAGGGATTCCTTCCAAATCCTGAAATTCTGTGATTCTGTGTTACTCTTAAAGAAATTTCACTACTGCTTGCATGACAGAATTGGGAACTAAGGGCAATTGATTGTTCTGGAAAAATAAAGAAGTCCTTCTTTCCTGGAAGTTCATCCTAATGAACTGACTTTATGGGTAGAAAATATATAATTTGCTTAATTTTGGGAGATGGCTTTTTTTTTAAGTGAAAAAAATAGGAAAAAAAAAAAAAAAAGGCAACAAAGGATTTCCAATTAGAAGTAGTCTGACATAGTGCTTCCTATAAAGTCTCTGACACAAATATCATCTACATTTGTAAAGTCCAGGTTATGGTGTCAGGGTTCAAAAAACAGTGCCCATAGTTATATAGTTAAGATCACATTTTTTACATTGATTTTAATTAAGAGTTGTGATTTATATCACACAGAGCTCCAAGTCCTTGAATACCTCAGTGGATTGATTCCGAATGATCTCTACAAAAGCCAAAGGGGAAGAGGAAAATGCAAAGACACCTTAATACCAGCTGAAAATATTTCTCCAATGCTAATGAATGTTGTTCAGGTCTTTGTGGCCACAGACTTCACACCAACCCCAAAGGAAAAAAAAGACAGTCTCTAAAATCTCTTTTTCTTTGTCAAGCTGCAGTTGCCCAACCCTATCATAAACCTGTCAGAGTGGTCACAAATTCACCTTCCCAATACTTCTCTGTTTTTCTAGTTGACACCAGATTAGCATGACAGTCTAACAAGCGGGTCAAGCCAAAGACAGAAACTTCTAAAAGGGCTCAGCAAGTTATATCGGCTCCTCATTCAATCCTGAAGCCACTTTTTTGCAATTGCTTTACAGGATTCCTAACAGTTTAAGGGTCACAGTAGCCAGGCTGCCTCTTTTGACTTTTAATGGTGATTGCAGAGAATGCTGTTCTTTTTCTGCATGAGGTGACTACCTAAGCCTAAGTGTAATATTTGGCCGCAAGGGAATCATTCCCTTCAGTGACATCTCACAGGCTTTGCACAGACAAAAACAGTCAGGAGAAAATCTAATTCCCAAAATTTGTAGGTGATATCACAATACTCAGGTTTGGTACTCCAAAGCCTGACTGAAAAAAAGAAAAAAAAAAAAAAAAAAAAAAAAAAAAAAAAAAAAAAAAAAAGAAAAGAAGAAAAAAGCAGAAGAAAAATGAAATCAGCAGAATGGCTTACGTTGGCAGCTGTTACTGAACTAAAGACTTGGATGGAGTATCAGATGCTGGCTTTAATGTTTTTTATATGATATACATGTTGCAGCTCTGTTATTATGGCCATTGCTGCAGAAATGCTAGACAATATGTAGTTACAGAAAAGAGATCCCTAAATAAATGCCTTGAAATCAAATCCTCGTTTTGCTTTCAGTCTCCACAGCTCAGTTATTGCTCCTCACTTGTGTGGCTCAAACAGAGGGTCCCTGGGGTCCTTGGATTCAATCCTATCCAAAATTTTGAAACTTGGTTTCCTTACATACATTGAAAATCCTCAAGCAATTTGCACGCCACCATCTCTTCTAAACCATGGCTCCTATCATGATTACTGTAGTCAGTAACCACCCTTTAGTCCCTCCTCACTAGTACATAAATGTCTCTATAACTAATCTACTGAGAAGTGCTTGCAACATTCTTCCACTATTTTATCCAAGCGTATTTTATGCTCACACTCTTCTCTCCAGCTCCTCTGACCTTTTCTAGAGATGCTTTTGGCCTCCTGCACTTCACTGCACCCAGCTGCCCTCTTTCAGAACCCCTCATGCTGTACAACCTTATGGCATGCTTATGCTTTCCTCCTCTGTCTTCTCACACCTGTGAGCCCTCATCCCTGGTGCCCTTCTGTTTGGAACACTCACTTTCTCTTTCAGCTTTAACACCTACTTGTTCCAGGAATCCCACTGGCTGTTCCATCTCTCAGCAGCACCCACAAAGACCATTCTTTTCTGAGCCTGTTCATGCATGTTATGCCTGACTTTAGTTTGTACTGCTTAACCTACATCTGCTATGCTCATTCCCACACACAGGCAATATTCCTGAGTGCAACTTTGCCATACCTGCAGTATACTCCAGTAATACAGTAATACTGCAGTAACTGCAGTATACTTTGAAAGATTGAATCTTGAAAGTATTTTATTGTTCATCATGAAAACTGTCAAAGAGGATGTGAGGAGCACCCTTAATCTAAAGCATACTGGAGGGAAGGGGAAGAAGGAGGGGAATGGGAAGGGAAGAAAAGACAGTAAAGACAGGGATCTGTAGTAATCTCTGTAACAGGTAAAAAAGAGAAATGAAGAAGATAAGCATAAAGGAAATATTTAAAGTCAGGAAGACAGATCCTTCCTAGCAATGGAAACTAAGTATTTACAAGTCCTTGCAATAAAAGTGAGCAATTCTTTCACCCTATCTTTGGGGCTCATACTCATCTCACACCAGAAAAATGCAAAAGGTGAGCCTCTGAGTGCAGAGAGAGGAAGGTGCTCCAGAGTATGGCAACACAAATGCTCTATATGTAATATTAGAACCCTTCAGTCTCCTTGCTCCTTCCTTGCCAGCCTTTCACAGTGGGAACAGAACTGTCCACTGCTATGATTTAGGCCTTAGTTACACTAACATGGACTGAATTCTACAAGGCAGAAGGGCAAAATAACAAATTATTTAACCAAAGAACAATTAAATACTTGTTTACATTCATACAAAAGCTGGTTTCCATGCAAGACTGCACTTGTGCTCTCTCTGGCTGCTTTTGGAGTGCTGCATTGTACGAAGTGGAGACATGCCTCCTTTTAACCAAAATCTCTCTTTTGCTATTACACACTGCAAAGCCACAGGCAAGTGACTTTGCAGCTTTGTCCCTCAAACACGATACAGATGTTTATCACTGACACTTGATGGATGAGTTCAAATGGGAGAAGCAGGGACTCAGAGAAATGGAATCTTACTGATAAATATTTCACAGCATTGCATACTGCAACATATATCATCAGATCCCATTTGGCAGAATTGCTTACAGGTGATGCGTGTGTCAATTATTGTAATACTCCTGGCAATCTGAGAAACACAGATTGTAATTGATGGGCTATGTACTATTTTCCAGCTGTAGTGCAGCTCACTGCTATTATTTTCTTGTTATAAACATCTGTTCCAAGATGAAAGCACCTACAAGTGCCTCTGCTTCAAAAATTACAAGAGGTTAGTTTGTTAAACATTTAAGCTATGTAAACAAATACAGGTTTCATGCAAGACAGATTTGACTATGGACTGATTATTCTATCATAGCATTGCTAACTATTCCTACTGTGGCAAAACATTTCAAAAACAAGACATTCTCAGATGTATGCTCCTAAGTAAAATGTCACATGAAATTCAGTTCAGTCAGAAGCCCCTAGGTTTAGAAATAAAACTGATTTCAAAAGAAAAGAAGCATTTAAACAGTGTCATGGCAGTTATGGCTTATTCAGTAATAAGTAGATGGTTTCTTTTTAATTGCTCATGTACTTCATCAAACTCAGCCTAAGTCAGCCATGAAGGAAAACAACCACTAGCTGCTGGCAGCTGCCTAGCCTGTGCAAGATGGACATGGTTCTCACAGCCAGCAGATGGGGTCTTAGATCAGAGAAACCGTCACCACAGTTGGCACAACCAGGTGCCCATGGCTGGCCTCCCTGTCACAGCAGAGAGGCTGAGGGCATGTTTCTGAACTACTCTTACCCCTAAAGGTGGTCTCTCCAGGTCAGGGTTGAGGCACATTGGTGGGGCAATGTGGGGAAGTTTGCACTGCTGCTGCCCATGCTGTACCTGCTCTATAAATAAATAGAGGACTTTAGTCTCCAGGACTGTCAGTTTGGCACCTTTCATGTGCACAAATGACATATTGTGGTTTTTTGTTTGTTTGTTTAGAAACAACCACCCAGAAAGTTATATGCAAAGCTTAGTATGGCGAATCAAGATAAATCAAATTTATTGTATGAGAGCACCTAAAATCCCACCTTCCATTTGCTCTCTTTTTCATGTTTTCTACTTGTTTTCTAATTGTGATAAGAATAAAAGTTATGGACCTCTTTCGGTGTTTCTTGATGACAACGGTTGCTGTTCCACCACAACTCCAATGCTGCCACCAAGCAGGCAAGTAGAAGGCCTATTGCTAAAATGCAGAAAACACCTGCAAAACTGTGCAGCTTGAGAGCCTTCCCATCTGTCTGTGCATTTGTGTGGCTATTCAGGTCACAACGTCCCATCCGTGGCCACCATTTTTGTTTAAGAACATCCAAATCTCCACTTTCTTGCAACTCTAAGATCCTGCAGAAATTTAAAAACACACACAAGTATTACATTCAATTACATCTTTTTCCACATTTTTTGCACTCTTTTCCTGTTACATGAACTGCCTTACAATTCAAAACTCTGTCTTGCAAGCCCCCATCCCCATGCAGTATTAATCTGAAACTCATTCTGCTCACAACAGCAGGCAAACTTCAGTGAGTAACTTTAGAGGAAGGATGACTGTCAGAAATTTCATTGCAAGGCAAGAAGCATTCCCAAGGGAAATCACCATATTCCACAGTTTGTCATGGCTGGTCTGGCTACATTCAGCTGCAGCAGCTGGTTCCACTAGTGAAATACGCAGCCCATTTCACTGCTGCTCTCCCACAGTAATTTTAAAATCATGGGAGACTAAACATGCTACTATTTGTGCACCACTTCATACAAATGTGCTTAAGCAGCGACCAACTTATTTAGTTCAGCACATGCAGTTTATTCAAAAGGATTTTACTTCAGTGCTGTTACTTCATGCTTGAATTACTTTGTTAACAGCTGCTAATTAATCATTGTTTTGCCTCTTGTGAAGTGTCCTTTCTCTCCAAGAATGATTCATTTTGGATTTGGTTTGATAACTATTTTTGCTGTTTACTAACAACCCTTTCTCTTTGGTTATACAACTGGAGCTTTACTCCCTCTTATAAAGAACAAGTGAGATGGGGAAATCCTGCTCCAGCTTCCTGTCTGGAGCAGTGCACCCACTCACCTTCTGCTAGGGCCACACATGCCTGCCCACCTGCATGTCTTCCATTCAGTGTACACGCTGACATGAAAAAGATGCTCATAGCTCATAGACCACCAAATGGCCACAGATACTGTAGTAATGCCATGCAATAATCAACAATTCTTGTTTTCCTGTACTATTGTGACATTCAGCATGTCTCTCCACCCTAAAGGATAAACTGAGACATTATTACTTGCTTACTGTATGGAAGAACATCGTTTCATAGCCTGAAAAACACATAAATCAGGAATCTCTCTTTGATCTCTCCCCTAGCTCATACAGAGCTCTGGGAACTCTGGTCCCTTTTCCGACAGAGCCGGTGCTACTCAGAGATGTGAAGCCACACACCATCTCCACTCCCTCCTCCCTAAACAGAAGTACACAGAGCAGAAGTAGCAGCTTTGTTGAAGACTGAACTTATAACCTTTCTGCTGTCACTGTAGGAAGAGAATTAAATTTATTCAGCAAATTGTCACTGTCAAAATTGAAGTGAACCATCAATGGGATGCCATGCTGGTTGCAGAGAAGAATCCTACAAAATGAACTTTGTTTTGGTTTACCTCTGGGAGAAAAGATCTCTGTAGGGGCTTCCGTGCTGGAGTGCAATTCCGTATCCTTTGCTGCTGATGCTATTACCAATGACTGTCACAGAGCATTCATCATCTGTCAGCGCAGCATATTCCACCACTGTCACATCCCACAGGAATGCATAATTTCCTTTCTTTGCCTGTAAATACAACACAAACACAACAAAAACTAAACTAAACCACATTTCTAGATAGGAGAGAAAAAAAAAAAAAAGCAAAAATAAAAAGCCCGATGCTGGTACTTCACCAGGTCACATCTATAGACCTCCAGCATCTTAATACATTTTTAAGTCTTCCCCCATAACATTACCTCATCTATGCTTTTCCCAGCAGTACATCATCTACTTCAAACCTCTCTAAAATGTCTTCCATTTTTAATAGAGAGAGAGAGCATAGGATGACATAGCCTTCTGTAAGTTTAGGCAAGGCTTACATAACAGGTAATTAATTATAAATCAAAGCCTTTGCCTTAACTGATGAAATTTGATGTATGTTTTGTAGGAGACATGGATTAGCAGGAGCTCCATACATTTATGTAAGTAGACAGGTACAGGATGAGCACTTAGTGGTGTTCCCTAATCATTGCAGTCACCAAAATGGAAACTTTACAGATTCCCTCAAGTAAATGTGTAAGTGAAAGAAGTGCCCTCCAAGAGCTGTGTTAGTCCTGTAACAAAAAAATCACACACAAAGCTTAAAAAGAATTCCTTTTTTTTTATTCTTCTTTTTTTTTTTTTTTTTTTTTTCCCCCCCACAGACAAGAATAATCACCAGCATCTCTTGTCAGCTCAGTTTTGGGACAAATATTGTTCTATTTTAGCACACGTTCATGCATATGTCCTTAAATGTCAGCCTTAATTGGCATTCTAGCCAATGTCTGCATGCAGTGAATATGATGAATGTAAATCACCTTACTTAACATAAGATGTAAGAAAAATGTCTGGATAGAAATTCAGTAAGGAAAAAAGTGATCATTTTGTTTGTTTAAAGTAATCATCGGTTTCCCAATAAATTTAAGTATTTAAGATTTTTAGTCTCAAGTGAATATACAGAGCACAAAAGAAGAACAGATGGATGGGAACAGCTAATGCAAATAAATGAATAATCATGACTGCAGATTTCCAAGACATTTTTTTTCTTTTTAAGAAACAAAAAACAAAATAAATGACAAAGGCCCACCTTTGGCTGATTTCTTTAGGTCAAAACAAAGCAAGATAGGAAGCTGAAGTCTGGAAACTGAAACATTAAACTTTCTTTGCCAATGGCTGCAGTGCTGACGTTATTCCATATATTTTCCATTTTGTGTAATCTCAGTTAAAGAACTGACCTGTAAGCCTATAAGGCTCACTAAATTAATTTCCTCATTTGAGCAACTAAGTTAATTTCACCATGCTTTAGTATAAATCATAGCTTTCTGAAGTCCTTGACAGTTGCTTAAACATGATAATAAATCAGATGGGTGAATTATCTTGTAACGGATAGAATCGAGGGAAATAAAACTGAAAAGTATGCTTTTGGATTTTCTGTAAATTACTTGCCACAATTCACCTCCTTTTCTCTTTTACATTCTGTCTGCATCGATGCAATCAAAGACCCCCAAATTCTTTTTCTTCTGAACTACACCAGAGTAGCAATACATTATAGCCTTTGTTTCTGGCAAGATTCAAATTATCCTGTACTGACCACTTTGAAAACAGATTTTTTAAATGTATACCAGCACTGTAGGTTTGGCCAGTCAAGCTCCTCTTTCTCTCCTGCAATCTCTCGGTCAGTTCAGGGTAACAGTAATTAACGTACGTTGCTTCAGACAGCTATTGCTAGCTCAAAACAATCATTTAAAGCTAAAACTCAGCATAGGGACTGCAGGATACAAGTAGGAGCCACAAGATCCTACTGTTAAACTATATATTGGTTTAACTAATATGACTAATTATACAAGCTTGGTCACAAAAAAATCTCTCTCAAATGGTACTGCATGACTTCCACATCTGTATTCCAGTTCCCCTGGCCATCCACCTGACTAGTACTGGTGTTGGAAAGGAGGAATCAAGAAATAAATCACTGCTTACTGTATGTGACAGTCAGAAAAGGCTTCAAATCTATCAACACAAAGACGCATTAAAAAAAAAAAAAAAAGGAAAGGAAGGAGATTCCTCGGGGTATTTAGCTTATATTCAGATGGTAAACTGCACTCTTGGAAGCCTAAGATGTGCTTCTCAAAGGAACTTTCTGAATGGGCATGTACCTGGAAATAACCATGGTGTTAGCAGCAAGCCTCTGCATCTTGCCCTCTGCTCTTCCTCTGATGGACTTTAACAATTCTCATCTTATGTTTCCACACCTGTGAGGCCTCCTACCTGCTTGGGAGCAATGGCATTCCTCCCACTAGCGCTCCTGGCTGCACATCTCAGGTTTTACTCTGTGGCAAACAGTACACAGGCTCTTGCTATCTACAATACAAGACTGTGTGCAAGTGTTTCTGTGTTAAAAGCCACAGTTAAAGGACCAAAGACAACAGCTTTTTTTTTTTTTTTTTCCCTATACAGAATTTGTTCAAAATCTGTTATTACTAGAGAACAAAAGCTTGCCTGGTGTACACACAGAAAGAAGACCCAGAGAAGATTTCACCTATATCACAGTAATAAAATGTCTTTGATTTCTTGTTGGTTTCTGGGTTGTTGTTTTTTTTTTTCTTCTTTCTTTTTTTAATAGCTGGATCTTTTAGTTGTTTCAGAATTGTTCCAATAAATCATCTTTTCAAATTAACAGTTTACAAAAGAACGACAACACATCCTACATTCCTCATCTTTTTCTTAGTAATACTTGAGGAACACAGTCTTCCTCAAATATTCGATTTCAATTATAAGGCAGTGTCTAGAGAAAATCACATTATTGATTCTACCATTCAAGCCTCAGTTTTCTGCACTTCATTTTATGTAGAAGAGCTCTGTACGCTGACTTTCAAGGTTAGACAGCAGATCTTTTGACAAGGTCTACTTCTCTAGCATTTGCAACATTGCTGTCCTAAGTTACATCCTATGAATACAAGTGGTCAATGACAAGTTTACTGAGTCTCTCTGTATCAATTTAGTATTTTTATGACAAACAATTCTACCCAGTGGCATCCACTGAGCAGTATTTTTCTGATAGACTGTACATTTCAACATAAACAGGAATCTGAGTTTTAAACTCTTAATTATGTGTATTCTTAACTTCCAGAAATACTGAACGTGGAACTGCTTCCCCTCTCTAATTGTCAAAAACCGACTTCCCAAAGATTCCTTTTTCCTCAGGGAAGATTCTTCTCTTCCAAAATCTCTTCCTCTTGCAGATCTTTCTTTTCTTAAGAGTAGCAATCTCATACTATTAGCATGTTCGTTGCACAGAAATTTTCCTTATGACTAAACAGTAAGTTCCTATCTAAATTTGGCATGCTTCATATCCCTGTAATGGCTGTTGTGGCTGTTAGGTGAAGGCAGACAAGCTAAACTATGAGTGACACTGTGCACTGGCCCATGGGATGTATAAGCAGGAAACATAGGCTTTTTTAATGACACCTTACGCAGATGTATCTATCCATGCAACTGCATCATGACTGCAGTACATTAAAGCTCCATATCCTCATGCTTTTTGCATTCACAGCCTAGCCATTTCAAGCTTGAACTATTTGTTTTTGGGTCCCAAATTTTCTAGGATCAGACACCACTGCAAAGAAAACATAGATAAAAAAGACAGTAAAAGGGAATGTGGTAAATACCAGCTGAGAATAGGTAAGATAGAGAAAGAAAGAATGATTGAAATGAAACACAGAATAGTAAGCTACAGTTTAGGCTTTTAATTGGCTTTCATATTTTGCTCCTTTGCTATGGCCTTTTTGTGACTTTCAGCACGCAGGCACACTGCAGAACAAAACAGAAATAACTCAGTTAAAAGTTTCAAAAAACTCTTTCATAGAAATTCAGCCAAAGTGGTCATATATTCCACCCAGGTTGAACTTCTGTAGCGGTTAACACCAAAGATAGCAGATTTATCTTCTGTTGAAGAGATTGAGGAAAACAAATTTCAGAAGAAAAAAGAAACTTGCATTAAAAATGCCTTCTTTGCAATCATCAAAAATGAAAAGACCAAGGAAGATTGTTTCCCTGGTATAATAAGAGGGACCATAAAGATAACAGTAATACTTCTGAAAAGCAGTAACCAATTTCATTATGTTACTCTTCAACATAGAGAGAGATGGAAGAATGTATTTCAAAGGGTCCTGTCTTACTGTTGGTAAAGTTATGTATTTTCAAAGAACATGTGGTAAGAACTAACAATACTTTAAAAGAAGTTGAACTTCAGCTTTATCACTGATAGGCCTGTGATTCATCTGCAACTTATGAAGAAGCTTCCACACTGGAAAAAAAAGTACAATAATGCTACATTCGTCATTAATCTATTGCCAAAATGGAGTGTCACTGTAGATGATCCCATTATATAGCTGGTAACACAGAAATATCAAAGAGTGACCTTCACATTGCTATTAGAAGAATAGTTCAAAAACATGCTTGGATAATATTTATTTTCTATTTCAAAAGCACCTTAGAAGAAGCTGCACAGTTCTAATAAAGAAAAAACTTGCCACTTAATCCTGTTGAAATTACTTAAAATTAATATCATTAGAAGCTACTACAGGATGCAATATATTTGGGCTTTAAGGAAGCATTTGCTTCTACTCCAGAGGCTGATCATGGTCAAAAAATGAAGAAATTTATGACGATCCGTGAAAATATATGGATGAGCCATAATAATTCACAATGCAAAATCTAGTGTGGACAGTAAATCACAGGAAAAAATATTTCAAAAAAAATCCTCTTTATGGAACTATTAAATTACTTGCAATCTCAAAATAAAAATGAAGAGAAGTGTCTGTTCAACAACAAAAGATCTCATTTGATGTTTATTGTTTGTTAAAGGAGAGAAACATTTGGAAGGAAGTAAAAAAGATAGGAATGCACTTGTACTGTGCTACTGCATAAATCAATGATACATTCATATTTTGTACTATACTTTCTTTTGATCATTGCATCAAAAGCAATATACAGGAAGAAAAGAACCAATAGAACCAATTCAGAACTATTTTGGCACCAAATTGACCACACAGAAGAACAAACTGTCTCCATTAAAGGAGACTGTTAAAAAGCCACAAAAGCAATTTCATTCTCTCATGTGTATCTTTGTATATATGTACATATATATGTGTGTGCGTGTATATAAACATATAGTGAGATACATGAGAGTATACACGGCACATATCACTTTGTTCTTCCAAAGCAAGAATGGCTGCTCACAATGAGAAATGCTGCAAGTTACTAGGTATGTTGTGATAACTAATAATTACCCTCAATAAATTATTGCCATGGGGTATTATGTGAACACCTCATTCATATTTGCAGATACGTTAGGGATATATGCAATTCCCCTATCAATGTCAATCTGAGATAACATGGCAAGAGCTATGCACAGCGCACTTCCGGGACATTCTGGCTGCAGCTTGACCCAAAAGGAAACTTTCTATACAACAGAATTAGTCAGTCCTGTTCAGTACTACCAGAAAACTCAAGTGGCAAAATAGCGCTCTGCGTGGACTTGTGATTTGTCTGGCAAATTCCTCTTACTCTATGCGGAGGCATTTATGAATAGGTGGATATTTTACATCTGCAATGACTATTTTCAATGCCCATGGCAGTAGAACAAAAGCAACTTGCCCCCACAGCTCTGAAATGTTTTTCTGCCACTTATGTGACTTCGCAGTGCATTAATGCTGTCTCTGTGGCCGTACTTGTGTTGCAAAAGCTGTGCTTTGACAATGGGAGATGGTCACTGTGGCTACAGGGCTGTGCTATGTCTGAAAGTGACCTCTTCCATGGCAACCAAAAGCTTTTGTGGCATTCAGGACATTCTTCCATTATTGTCTGTTTGGTTTTAGTCAGTCAAAGGGAGAAGAAACATGTCTGGGAAATGGAGAGAGGAAAATGGAATTGAGACAAAGACTGGAAATACCTGCCTATTGCATGAGTAAGCAGTACTCTCCTGTTTTGCATTGAAGAGGCTTTTATTTTTTTCTTACTTAACTGCAGTTGAACTGTGATGCTGTCTGAAGAAAATGGAGAGCAAGAGGAGAGAAGAAGTAGTTGTTTTTTTTTTTTTTCCATTGTTCCAGGCAAGTCTTTATTCAGAAAATGTGTTAGGTATCTTTATATGCCGGAGGAATTTAGACTTTCCTTTTCCTATAAAGCATTTCTAAGGTACATGTACATCTCTTTCATGCAGCAGCACGTGTTTAGAGTTTATAAAAAGTCTGATTTCTTTGGCCGATACCATTTCTTCTTTAGGAAAACAGAGTTTCTAGCCAAAATATTTGATATGGCTGACTTGTCTGTTTTTTCAAGGAGCTCAATGAGTTAGCAAGAACGACATTTAAACTATAAACACAAACGTTTAGTTGACAATGTTATTAAATACTGAGCTCAATTTACGTGCCTAATTAAATAGCAGCCTTGGTCAGCTTTGGGAGCTGAGGTAAATTCAGTTATTGTTGACGTTAATGGAATGAGGTGATCGAGTTATATAAAAATCACCCTACAATATTAAAATCAAACTCAGTATGAAAGATTTAACATTAGTTAGAAGAGACAGAGCTGCCAGCTCCATACAGACAACATAGTTGGTAGTCCAAACAGCCTGCCAGTCCACAGTTACATTTAAAGTTTAGGCAAATCTAGCTACAACAAATGGCAGCATGCAATAGGCTTATGGAAAGAGAGTATTTATAGCTTTACTGCTGACAGTAAGAATGGTAACAAAACAAACAAGGGACAAAAAAGGTAATTTTTTGTGCTTTTTTTTCTATGGTAAACTGTTTTATTTATATATTGTTTTTAATGTCATGCTACATAGATTAGAACACATTGGCACTACTTATGTCTCTGCTAAGAAAGTCTTGAAATAGAGGCTTCATTTGGATAAAGTGACAAGCAAATTAAAAAAAAAAAAAAAGAAAGAAAAGAAAATCAAATCACTGCAGACTTTTCTATAGCCAGGGTTCTACCTTCTACCAGAGGAAGAAAGTTTAATTGAGCCAAGTGCTCAGCTGGAAGGCGGGAGAAAATGCAGGGGGAACCAAAACTATTGACAGAATACTCCTGTACTGGAAAAGGCAGAAGTATGTTTTTCCAAAAATAAGGATTTTATCCAGAAGTCACACAAACAATTGGGAATCTTATATCAAAGGACTTTGATTCAGGAAATAGGATGGCTTGTATTAAGATGTTCAGCCATGCTATGGTTATGGTGTTGTAAAAAACAGTATTTTTTTTATTTTTCCTCACTGACAGCTTAGAAGTTGTTTCAATTAAAAAATAGACACTTTTCTCTAAAGGAAAATCACATTAAAATTACACTGGCTACTTCTGCACACCTGCCACAATATACTTCAGGACACATGCAGTTTGCTGCTATTTATTATCTGCTTCTGCTAAGCTACAAGATGGAAAGCAGAGAAGAGCAGCAGACTAAGGGCGAGAAAGTGTGGGCATGAACTTAACCAGGACTGTTTATAACAGAAGTCAGCACAAGGATGTAGAATCTCAAGCTACTATATATACCTTGATTATTACAACAGTACTCAGTTTCATCAAAAAATCTGAGAGAAATAAAAATTAGGTGAAAGCATTCTGACATGTGAAAGAGCATGTGCTTGTTAAGTCTCAAATAAACAAAGAAATTTGGCATGAAAGTTCTGTTCTAAGAAACATCAGTAGATTTTCATTCATTCCTCATGTTACCAATACTTACTTTAATTCAAAGCAAATGAAAAAAAAAAAAAAAAAAGAGCAAAGGACAAGTGTCAAAATCTGAATAATAAAAAATATCATTGAAGATGGGTATTGCCAAAGCTGCCAAGAAACCTGTAAGTTTTACAGCCAGCTCCAAAGGAGGATTTAAATACTGGAGATTTCGGCAGAGCTAAAGTACTTTAATTCAAAATCACAACCTCACAAGATGCCTTTTATCTGGCAGTTACTGAAAGGAACTTTATGTAAGGATATTTTTGTTTACAGTTACGATGTACTTGCATTAATGTGACTCAACAATATTAACTCCACGCAAACTAATTTGATACAGCACAACAATTAAATAAAGAGCACTGTAATCCAGTCTTACCTTCCTGATGCCTTCAGAAGGGTTCGATACACAATTATCTGCCCCATTATTCTTACTTATTGTCCTCCACAGTTCAGCAAATGTGTTATCCTGCTCCAGAGGGTTTGTTCCTTTTGCTTTAAAGTATTCATATACTGCTGAGTCTCTGACTGTACCGTAAGATATATCCATTTGTTTAGACAGGTCCTGAAATGTTCTGAAATTCAAGCAATATTGAGATATTAGTGAAACATAAAATGCTACTGAAATTTAATTAAATGATTTATTTTTGTCTTCAGTCGGAAGGCATTTATCAATATCAGGCAATATTTGAGTATCTCTCCCTTTCATCATAAAGGAAAACCAAAGAGTAATTGAATTCAACTGAGATCATGTGAACTCAGTCATACCTGATGTTTTTTAATTTGTTTGTTTGGTTTTTTAACCTTAATAAAGACTTTCTGGGTAGATAATCCATGTTAAATATTATCCCAAGTTTGCACTGAAAGGGAGTCCATTACAGACATACCCCAGTGCAGGAAAAGGTTGTAAATATAAACTGTCAGCCACCTTGGCACCACCTCACAGAACTCAGTGGAATTAGTTGGAACTTATACCAATACTCCACCTGACTCCAAATCAATAAGACTTTTTAAAACAAACAAATAAAAGCCTTGGTTCCAATTTCTACCATGTCCCTCTCCCTCTTTTCTTCACAGCCTCTGGTAAAACAGACATTTTTCATTCACACAGAGGTCTAACTTTCATTTACTCATCATACCACCCTGGAAGTGTAAATGGGCCTCAACTTGAGTGACTGTGAATGCATCATTTATTTTCAAATTGTACTGAATGTAATTCACTCCTGTTTTACAGCCTTTTCAGCACAGAAAGGTGTAAATCACTGCCTGTGTCACTGAGAACCAGGCCAAGTTTCAAAACATTTGAAGCAGAATCAAGTCAATTTTCTATTTTCAGCCACCAATGTTTGCTCCTGTGTCCTCTTCCTTTGTTCTCACATCTCACTTTTCTGTACAGGTACAGAGTGGCAGCACGGGCTAAACTGTATCTAAAATTATGATATATATATATTTATGTCTCATAAATGCATAACCTCATATAAGATTTATTTCAGATGCTTCTCATATGAACTACCAATTAACTTTAGCTGAGATCAAACTAAAGTCTCCCATCCACTCTACCATCCTCCCATCACATCACCTTCAGGCCTTCCGAGTTTGGTTCCCAAGGAGCCCCTTTACCTGGAGGCACCATGTGAGGCTGCCAGCTCCATCCCCAAAGCCGCAGCTCAGCAGGGTTGCCTCTTCTACCCTTACAAACACCCTTCCAACTCACACGCTGCTTCTAAAATTTTAAGTGGTTTAAGTTCTTAAATTGTGTTAAGGACTTGTTATCATTTTAAGCTGCTAAGCAGCTTTCATTAAGACTGTGAACAGTTTTTTTGCACACTTGTGGGTTTGCGCTAACTCCAGGAGTTGCATCAAACCCCAGATATGTTACTTCCCTTGCTCCATATATACCACTTCAGTAAAACAGAAATGAACACCCTGTAGGTTGCCAGATATTCAACAATTCTAATAAAAAATGAGAGAATTTGTATCAGTCCTCTCTCTCTGTTTAACAGTCCTGAAAGTTATATTCTGATTTCCTAAATGTTTCTGGTACATTTCATTGAACAGGACCATTTTTCCTCCAATTTTGATCTAAATGATTACATGCTACATTTAGTTCCTTCTTTATTTTTTAGAATAAGCTTCATCATATCACATGAAATTGCTCACATCCTGGGGATGGATGATCTGACTGTTAAAAGACACATTTCAGTCTATTGTATGTCCAAATGACTAAGAAAGGTGCCGAATACACACGCAGGGTTTCTGTGGCAACCCTTTTAACACAGTCTGCTGTCTAGATTTCAGTGCCTGTAGAAGCACATACAAGGAAGAAGCACGTTAGCAGCAGCATCTTTAGCTATTGTACTTTAATGTGACTTTCAGCAGATAACAACTTTACAAATGTCTACTGTTCACGCTGTCATTCTTGTTGAAAATGTAAGCATTCAAAAAAAGCAAACTGTAGCTTTCATAATGTTTCATAACGTGGATCCCTTCTACTGCCTCTGCATGGGAACTCTGACAGAAATCTGCCTCTTGTTTTAGCTAAATTATACTTTATTGACAATCACTGCTTTTGTTTTAGCTAAATCACACTTTATTGACAATCACTACTTTTGTTTTAGCTAAATCGCACTTTATTGACAATCAGTACTGTACAAAATCACAGTACATCTTGCTTTTCGAAAAGCATTTTTCTTCAATTCTCTAAGCATTGCAGTGAGCAAATTCTGGGTATAAATCAAGTGCTTTGCTGGCCCAATAAGTAGGTAAGAGGTGGCAGGGAGGAAAGCCCAGCCTTTGCTTGGGTGTTGCGTGGAACACAACTATGATCCCTTTAGTTGGCAGAATTTTCCTACAAGGATAATAAAGAATACTGCATGTCCTGAGGATTATGCACATCTTTCCTGCAGTGCCCTACTTGATCCATTGTAAGAACTGCTCCTGACACAGGAGATTCTCTGTATCACTACTGAAAACATCTTTTGAGCGAGTCAGAAGGTCTCCAAAGGACACAGCCAGGGTCACAGCAGGTAACCAAGCTTGCGAGTGGCTCCTGCAGCACAAATTCATGCAGATGGTGAATGTCAGAGAAAGAAGGTAACCTTATGTCTGCACCAAAGGGACCACTTAGCCAGAACTATCCCAGAAACTATCTTGATGGGGAGTGGTCTGGACAACAGTTGTTATTCAGTATAAAAAAATTCTTTTACTATATTTCTGCACTGAAATCTCCTGTCTTATAGGATGAATTAAGATAATCACAAGTGCAGATTTCATATATTTTTCATATATTTATACTTTTATATATTAGCACTATGCCATTCTCTACAGGCAGCTACTCTTTGTTCCTAGACTTCTTCATTTTGCTGAATAGCCATTAGCAGAACCCACCTTTGTTTGCTACTCAGATTCTTGGCTCACTTTCCTGCAGTAAAGATTTCATGCATTTAATAAATAAAATTATTTGCAACAAAAATGTGCAGCATAACAAGACGCTCCATTAACCTTACCACCTCAATTATTGGATCTCACAACCCATTAAGGACTCTGTAAGTGTGATTAAAGATAAAGCTAGTAAAGCAGAAAAAGCCAATGTTCCTCACTTACACTTATAGGAGCTGACCTTCAATTTGTAGATAAATACATCCACTGTGTGATTACTGTAATTGGCAAGTACATGTAAACCAATTGATTTAAGTAAATATATCTGTGGTCCATCCAAACAGAACAGAGTTACCAGCTGAAATATTTAACCAGTGTAATAATATCTGCTAGATAGATAGGACGATTGATACGTAATTCCCAGTGGAGTAGCAATTACTACAAGTGGAGTCAACTGAAAACTGTTTGTTTCAATTTTTAGAAACATATTGACATAAACCAAATGTTGTGGAATAAACATTTAGGCAATAGCTGTACTAGCATTTATAATTAGACCATTAGAAATAACTGACACAATAAAAATATTGGTTAAGTTGTACTGTTTGGAAATGCTTTCCTACTTGTAAGAGACTCATAGAGCTGTAGATATGTAACCAAAAAAGGTTCTGCCAGCATAGGTTGATTTGACTCTAGAGGTGCTATAAAGACTTTCTGGATGAACAGTATGAACAAATCTTATCTAAGGGACAGACTAAACCTGTCACCAGGTGCTTGGAAGTAACTGCTGACCAATTAACTCAACTCGAATACTGCAGCCTCAGCTGTTCATCCAAAACTGCCTCTCACGATTGTCAATCACTATCAAAGTAAATAACCTCAAAACACTAACAAAAACAAAATAACAGCGACAAAAACCCACAAAAAAATAAGCAAACTTTCCTTTCAAAATTTTTTTTAAAAATCTTTTTTTTTTCTTTTTTTTTTTTTCTTTTTTTTAAGGCAAAAAAATATTTATTTACTGAGTTTTTCACCTTCCTAATTATTCCTTTTCTTTTAAGTTAGGAGAATGTTGCACATCTGGAATCCTATGTGTAAATTCTGTGTCTGTCAACAAGATAACTATGTAGTAATGTCATGAATTCTTCTATGCCACTGTAAAAACAAGTAGTATTTATCTTGATTTCAGCCTTAAAGAGACCATAATGGCAATAGTGGCAGCTCCTTGATTTAGAGGTAATTTCTCATTAGTATTCACCACTGCAAATATTTTAACACTGAAACTGTTTGTATTTTTCCAGTTTGCTATTACTTAAGAAAAGTTAGCATTTTAGCAGTTTCTGAATCCACAGCATTATGTTTAAAAAATGATGCAGTATTTTTCCTGCCTAGCTCCTGTTTGCTCATCTGCACATGAACTAGTAGAAATAATATAGGTTAAGATTAGACATAAGAGTGGGCATCAGCACTCTGCTGTGTTGTGAGTACATTTCAGAATAGCCTCTCCCTTTGAATTACTGCATATGTTTGGAAAAACAATACAGAATAAATAATTCCTCCCAAGTAAATAAATCAATTTTCTTAAATAATATTAATCCCTAAATCACAGTATGCTTTTCCACATTTGCCTGGGAAAGTTATGTTCTTATTTTACCTAGGGATGCCAGCACCCTAACATCATTGCTCAATGCAGCATAATATTCCAGGTGACGGCTGCCATTAAGATGAATCAACCTGGAGAAGATGAGAGTTTTAAGCTGCTTTACCAAAATGGAGCACCTTGGAAATATATACAAAAATATACTACAAGTTCTACTTTTTAAATACCTTGAAATTACTTTATTTCAATTTTTTTTCAAAGCCTAGGAATTGATTATATGTACATAATTAAGTACAATTGCAAATTCTAACTATAAGGGCTTTTCAACAACATTTCAGGCTCTGGGAGCCTGGTTTAGAGATTGGTGACCCTGCCTGTGGCAGGGGGATTGAAACTAGATGATCTTTGAGGTCCTTTTCAACCCAGGCCATTCTATGATTCAATGAACATTTACTGGAGGAAAATACATGTTTTACATACTAGGAAATAAAGTTTACACATCAAAATAAAGATAAAAGTAGCTGAATTGATTTGACCACATACACCACCAGGGTAAGTGCAAGAACTACCTATGAGTTGAAACCTAGCATATACAATCCT